TATAAAATTTTAAATATATATTATATAATTTAAAATATTATAAAATAAAATGCATATTTTTTAAATTTTATATAAGATTTACGTACTGCCTTTAAAAATATTTTTGTAGAAGTATTGTCGCACGCGCGCGTTATTTTAATATAGGATGCTGATACATGTACCTATCTTGTTACGAGTTAAATGATTTATTTATGATTTTGCATTCACATCAAGAAATTTTTTAAGAAAAAATATTATATGACACTTAAATAATGTTTTGTTTTATATACAACGTGAAGGGATATTTCCCTTATGTTTAATTTTTTGACATAATTTTCTTCGGCCGTTCATTAAATCGATATAAGTCGATAATAATATTTTGATTGTTTTGGAAAAAATCTTTTTAAAATATTTGGCATTTAAGAACTATAGCGTTGAGTGAAAATGTGTAAGGAATATTTTTATCTTACAAATAAGAAAATAGGAATCTATTTTGAATACGTAGGTATATGTATATACATATGTATGTAGGTATGTATGCGCGTAGATGAATTAGACGAAGCCAATGTGACGATACCTATGATAATTCGAGACAACAAATTAAGAAATTGTAATTACATGTATTTATTATTTAAAATTAATAAATTTTAAGTTATATTAAGAACCTTCTTCCTCGTGGAAAATCTAATTTTTTAATTTCTAATTTTTTTGAATAACACGAAATGTCGCATTTAGTATCTCAAAAACTTGAACCTAATAATCGGGTCGTATTTGATGACAATGTGTAATGAAAACATATATAGTATCGTTGTATTGTATAATAGACAGATCTGTATTATTAATCATAATAATAATAATAATAAGAAGAAAAAGAATAATGATGATAATAATAACAATAATAGTAATAATAATAATTATTAGTATTATATTTTTATTTGTCTTTTATTTGCTCTGGAAAAATTGCGGAGCTCGCCATTACATATTTATAACACACAACGTATTAAAGTAAAAGAATATAATGGGGTATTTTATTTATTTATTTATTATTAATCAACGATCACTTGTACACATGTGTATATTCGGCATTGTCAATGGGACGGGAGCCAAACAGGGCATATGCGTGACATCCTTTCGGACGAATCGAATGTTGTAATATAACCTTTTTATTCTTGAGAGAGTCACGTTGCTCGATCTCTTTGCGCCGCGCATACAAGTTTAACATAGAATGAGTCATGTATTGGGATGCAAGAAGAGGCCGTTTCGACGATCTTACATTAGTTAGTCATTCCGTTTTGTGCAGCTGGCGGTGTCATGGCGGGCTCCGTTGCCACTCTGGCGATCCTTTGGGTGTCCCTGCAGACAATGGGACTTTTGGGTCACTCTCATTCGATTGGCACCTATAAGTTGCCTGAATCTCTGCAGAATTATCTTGTCAGTTATACTGGTAAGTATCTACCTTTTGAACTTATAGAAATGATATAAATTTTCACGACATAAAACATGGAAAGTCGAGGGCAATTGTATATTAGCGATTCATCTCTCTTCTATAAATAGTTCCATAAGAACTTCGGATAAATGTTGCTATTAATTGTATCATGTTAAATTGCGTTTTAAGCTTTACATCATACATTAGATCGTTCTGTACATTTGTCCTGTAAAATCGCATGTTTTAACATATTTTTTTTTTCTAATGTCTATTTTTGGTTTCGAGTCGATTTAGCAATATTTGGAAACCGTTTAGGTATGTCGAAATTGACAGTTTATTTTGGAACAAAGGCGTAGATTAAATCAGGACCATTAGGACTTACTTTGAAAGTATAATTAAAGAATATTTTTATGTATTGTATAACTGCCGGCCTTGTTTAAATAACCATTGCATGTTGTTTAAATTAGAGAGCATCATTCATTTACTATTTCGAAATATTTCAAAGAAGTGCTTTCAGGATTGCCATCTAATTATGGTTCCGAAGTTATCGTGGATACCGGTCGACTTCAAAATCGAAGATTTCCTAAAATCGATGGGACAACTCTGAACAATTCGATCGCGTTCGCGCAAATGTTAATTGATCGCATGAGCACCCTTGAGAGTAACATCGCTAACGCTGGAATTGAACTTAAAGCACAAAGTCCAGCCGAGAAACAATTTTGGAATTCTTATCCTTCTACGGATGCTGTCGACAGGAGTATCGATGCTATCGTGGCAACAAAGGCGTCATCGTATCTTGTGCATCAAAACTGCCGAAGGTACGTTTTCGAATAAATACTTAAAATTATTTTCTGTTCAAATTACAATATTACCTCAAACTATCTCTTAATTATTAACCATCAAAATGTAATATTTCATATCAATTATCATATATATGTATAATATATCTTATAATATCACTTATCTGCTTATTTTAAAAGTGACAACTGAAAAAATTAATTTCCTGTAAAAGAGAAAAAATTATTTTTCGGAAAATTACCCAAGAAAAACAATAGATTGCGATAACATCAAAATGTAATATCAAAATGAACTGTGATTGATATCGAAAAGTGACTTTTAAGAATCATTTTAGAGATGTCATTTTGATGTCATGTTTTTTGTTCTGCTTGTGGAAGTATCAATTAATTAAATAATATTAAAGAAACTATTTTTAATGTGACCGTATATCCTTTTATCGTTTTTATTTTATTATTTAATTCTTAAAAAAACTATCCTTTCTAATTTAACAACCATTGTGATGATTTTGACAAATTCTTTTAAAAATTGAAACGTTTTTGACTATTTTTATGAAGTATTAAGTTAGTTGACAATTATTTGTAGCCTTCTATTAAGATTGCTATAGGATAATATTTACTTAGCCCATCCATACAATAACATAATAACTCGAAAATTATTATGTTTTTTTAAATCGAATCACTTTGACAGTAAGGACTAGTAATTTATATTGTATAATTCGTTATAATAATCGATACTATTGACAGTTGTGTTACGCTATCATTGAAAGGCGGGCGCCTTTTAATCAAAATTCGATCGATGTCTGATTGATTTTCCTTCTATTGACTTTATTGCAGATTTGGCTTAGATAAAAATGACTGTGCTCGCTACATATCGACGTTAGGTTTGCGTGACACTCCGCTTGGTAAATCTTGTGCAGCGGTACATAGCGTAGAATGCGACGAGAAGTTCAAATACCGCAGTATTGACGGCACCTGTAATAATATTGAAAATCCAAGCTGGGGCAGCGCGATGACTGCGTACACCAGAGTGCTATTCTCACAATACTTCGACGGTAAGTGTCGCGCCTTCAATTATTTCGCTCCGTCTCTTTTCTGTAGCCTATTCCCGGATTTATCAACTGCATTAGCTCGCGATGACACCGTTTTCATCATTCGTCCAGGCTTGAATTACATCTCGACGGTATACGTCGCTGTATTAGGAAAATAATTACAGACCGCGCGTTATCATACTTTCGACCCTGTCGCGGATCGTAAGCAGTCCTCGCGCGCGCCCTTTCATCACAACACCCTTTTCTCCCCTCTGAACTTTGCACGAAAAAAATTCGTATAATAGAGCGATTTATTGAAAATGCGTGTTTTTTTTTTCGTAAAGTCTTTGTTGTTAAATTTGTATGGAATAATAATCGTACAATTATTTGCAGCCTCTGAATGTTTGGCGCTTTCCTCTTTTTCCCTCAATTCCGGTCCAACGCCCATTTATCCTATACCGTTGGGAGTGATTATTCCCTTTGATAATAGTCAGTTTTGAACAAAATGAAATCTTTTTCTAGATTGAGTAAATAACAAACATATGTTAGTTTTTCAAAAAATTTTCAAGAACAATAGCATATCATATAAAGCTGCGTCCAGACTATCGAGCCGAAACGCGAGCCGAATCTCGAGCCGAGCCGAGCCGCGAATCGAGCCGCGAGTCGAGCCTCGAGCTGATGAGCTTCGAGCCGAAATTATCGAGCTGAACTTTAAGTCGAAATCAAATCGAGCTTTAATAACCAAATTTCACGAGCGTTGCAAGCGATCTATATTGTACGTGACTTTAATTATTTATTTTATATATAATTAAACATGCATGCATATACAATGGACAATATTACAAAAATAGCTGCTGTTCTCGTTTGTTCTGCTCGATTCGAGGCTCGCGGCTTGCGACTCGGCTCAGCTCGAGGTTCGGCTCGTGTTTCGGCTCGATAGTCTGTGGACGCAGCTTAATGCACAATTATGTAGAAAATTTGTAAAATTGCGACAATTGAAGGAGAAAATAATTTTCATTTTAATCACGCGGACGAGAATATTTAGCGCGTATGTCACGACAATAACCGGTATTAGCTGAATGCGATGTTTGTTCGCAATTGCATACAGGTATATATTAGATACCATGTGTGTAGAAGACGTAGCGATGGGAATGCGTCATCGCATGAATTATATACCTATGACGATAAAAGTTTGAACCGGTTAGTCATAGATAGGATTTTTCGTTTGAAAAAATAACAATTGTAATGACTACGCGTTATCGGCTTGGACAGTAGTCAAACGATAATGTAATATATGTCATACTATGATTCCTCTACTGAAACGCAAATAAAGAGAGAGATATAGTTTGTTTGGGCCACTTGGATCAGAATTCCATTTGTACCATCATCGTTATCGGCATTATTGTATCCTTTTTCTGCAGATTCGCAGAATTCTCGAGCTTCTCGTTACATGGAGAACAAAAAACTTTTCTCAACAACACATTGCATTCCTCACGTTACGTCAATATGCCTCTCGTGTTTACGTGTCACACTAGCTTCTACATTTTTATACGCTCTTCTCAAGATGCAGATGTAGTGAATTTATTCTAGAAACACCTTTGGGTTTTTAAGATTCAAGACAAAGCGTTTTGCTAACATGTTTTAATTCTAAAATCAATTCGACATAGGTACTTATACCTATACTAGCTATACAAAGTAGCGCACGAAATGTTACATCCATTAATTATCTACTTTTCAGGCGTGGTAATAAATTTCATATCATTTCTGTACCAATTTTTTCAAAAATAGAATGTGTTATATTTAAACCAAGTGATTACATTTGGTACGTCATTTTGTATATTCTCACGTTAAAAATTAATGTTCGTATATTTAAAAAAATTAGTTGAATATAAATAACAATTGTGGCAAATTACAATATATGTAAAATCAATCATAACACAATCAGTTTGTATTCCAGAGTTAAATGCCGATTATTATTACAAGTCAAGAATCATTATTATTTCTCTGTATTTCTTCTATCTTGAATATATGTATATATACTTAAAATTAGTATTAAATCTACAATAAAATGTCGAATTGACTCAAAATATTAAAATTGGAAGTATAAATATGAGGTAAAAAGCATAATTAGTATCTATATTTTATCAATGATATCAAAGGTAGGTGGGAAGATTCGACATTTTATGAATATTATGTAAAATAGAACTTGATCGGTTCAGCCGTTACTGAGATCTGATCATCTCGACCCCGAAAAATTCTCAGTTTCGCATAAAGGAGGCACGGCGCGCAGTGTTGCGCGCTTGGCTTAGCGCCGAGACACTACCGTGTCTCCAGATATAGATATATAAATATTAAGTATTTTAGTCATATCGTGCTCATATAAGAAGTAAACACATCCAAGATAATTGATATTTTTATTGTAATATCGTCGTCGTGAATTACAATATATAATATGGAAATAATGCAACGATATCAGAAAGCGTTAATGTTTTACATATGCGAAGCTCACGACGCGATGATAATTTGATGTGGAGAGGTTCGTGGAAAATGTATATCTTATGAAAGACGTTATCATTTGCGTCATAGTAGGCTGTTTTGTATTTTTTAAGTACGATATCGTTTGAAGTTTGATCATTTGATGTCGCCGTTTGTTTTAATCTTGTAATCCGAGCAGAATAGCGTCTTCGTGAATATCAAGTCTTATCAACCATCAGCAACTTCGACCGACTCGACCTTCTAACCTATCTATCCTACTTATCACACACATCTCCATAATTCATACCCATATGTATATATGTATGTGTATTTGTGTTCTGTGTATGTACGTATGTATTTATGTTATATTTTGTACATGTATTCTAAAAAAATATGAGTGTATAGATTTAACATCATTGGTATTAAATACATTTTTCTATGTTAATATCAACATCAATACGATGGGAACGATATTTAATACTAATGGAATTAAATCAGCACTTATAATATACCTTTTAGAGTGTACGTTTGGTGCGTGCGCGTGCGCGCGCGCGCTCGGTATGTACATTTACATGAATGCATATATGCATAGAAATGTACATACATACAGAACATAAACACGCTTACACTGATCCTTGGGCGCTAATGGATAAACGTTCGTTGATTGGCTTAACAAATTATATTCTGTGATTTGCATTACAGTTGTGCGATAAGGCACATAGAGCATAAAATGCCTGAGTGTAGCAGTGAATAATACTGCCTACAATAGGGTGCCCCGGTCGAGAGATTCTATCCAGCAGTAGAATGTGTATGTAAACTAATTCGGATATACCTAATAATGTATCATATTTATTATGTAACACTAGTTCGAGTTGTTTTTTTCTGTTCAATATGCGACAATACGCGACTTATGCGAAGGTACACGAACGAGAGGATTTGGCTTGAGAGTACGCAATCCACTTGTATTTAATAATTCTAATTATAACATTTAACATTTAACGAATATAACGCATTGTGACACATAATTCCAAGCAGAAATATAAGTATTTCTAGTTTAAATTCAATATTAAATGAAACGCTTTTTTTTCTCACATACGACACTCGAAGAGAAGAACATAATGATAGCAATTATAAAATCAATAACTACACAAGTATACAAATTTAATATGTAGAATTAATTATGTACACATTAAATAGAGTAGAAAAATGGTTAAATTTTAATCAAGGATGTTGAGCCTCCTCGAGAGAGCTTGAGAATTTTTAAAAGATTCGCCAATTCGTTTTGCATATGCCTTTTTCATAGATGTCCTGGACGATTTTTCTTACGAGAGAATCGCGTTTACTTACATTTACGTTACACATATATCATATCGTTACACATAATCATAAACATTGCAGCAATGTAGAATTGTAGATATTTAAATATTTCCTACAAAATATCAATATTACATTATTTTACAATATTGTTGCAATATTTCCAATAAAATATTAAAATTTCAATATTGCAGTAATATTATTGAAATTTTTGTATTGTAATATTACGCACTATAAAAATGTTGCTGTGATATTTCGTGCTGTTGTTATCACTATTTTTTCTCAGTGACAAATTTTTCGTTTGCAATAAATCAAACATTAGAATTACTTTTAGAAACTGTCGACGTTTCTGCTGCAGTGCATTTTTGATATTTAAAGTTACATTCGGTACTTTCTCTCAGCTTGGTTCATTCGTTCGAACACCTTTATCGATCATGCATAGATAAGTTCGCAAGGACGTTTCTGCGAGCGTTTTCGATTCGAGCGGCCGTAATTTCGATGACAGGGCGTTGATTAGACCCACAAGCTATTATTTCGAGATTGTAGTTGTATACACAATCGCATCTCTGCCATGCTTTAACAGAGACGGCTCGTCGTTCGATAACGCATCAGAATGTCGAAGTCGATGTGTAGTCGAGCTAGCAATACATGTATTTGTTAGCAGTCTCGCATTGCAGCACGAGATTTAGGATCCTTCAGCGACTGATCAGATCTTGCGCCAAGAGCAAAATGATCTCTACTATAATGTAGAGTATAAATAGATCCTCTAGTGATAATAAATAGTCATTTACGATTCTCGTTTCGGACACGTTTGCGACATAATTATATATACTTCTCTGATCGTTCCCTGAATTTATCGCGCTGAAAAGGTAGGTTGTAGGTGCAATTAGGATCATAAGATTAGCTCAGTCGGCGGTTGCACTCGCCTATTTATAGTTAGAATACAGAATATTTATGCTATAATTATTATGGTTTCCTCTCGTGCTGCACTGCCAAGCGATCATTTTGAGAGCGCGTGCGAATGCGCGCGTTTAATTAAACTCGCTAAAATCGGAGTAATCTTAAGTGACAAGCTTATATATGTATAATATAATGATCGTTTGTCTGATCGTTTTGTCACGGAATTGTATCGTTTCATAATTTTGCTTGCGTGATTCAATGATTATATTTTACACGAGTATCTTTTACAAGAGTTAAGCACTACGTCGCGTCAAATACAGCACCGATTTACTCCGATTTTACGACTTTCAGTCATTAACGCGATAAAAATCTAATGTTTGGTTTGGGAAGTAGGCATCCAAGAACCGAGGCGTGTCGGACACTCTAAGAAACCACTTCCAAGTCCAAGGCTTGTAAGCGCCACTTTATCTACCGCGAATGATCAATCGGATGCTAGCAGAACGCTGGCTGTGATGGAGTGGAGTCAATTCATTTCTCATGACATGGCTTACACCCCAGTTCGTAAGATGGGTAAGAATTACAAACAATGTTTTCTTTCCAGTCAAAGTAAATGTCAAGTAAAGACACGGTGTATCGGTTGTAAAAATAATTCTCGTTGATCTAAATATGTAATTTAAAAGGTTATTAAAACAAAAAAAGAGCCGTAAAAAGTCAGCGCCGTAATTGGAGCAAAATATAATTTTTTTTAAAATTAATTACAATCTGAAATTCTGATTATGGTTTGAATCAAAATTAAAATATGGTGTATATAATTGTATTCGTAAATTTAACATATTAAATTGTACTCTGTTAAAAAAAAATTGTATTTTTCTCCAATCACCATGCTGACGCCTTTCTTTGTATAATTTTTTTTTTTAAGAACAGGAGTTTTGTCGTTTTACTTTTATTATATTTTTATATTTTAAAAACTTCTGTATTAATTGTAGTTTCAACGAGAAAACCAATCTCTTGCTGCCAACCGGATGGAGATACTCTATCACCGCGTCACGTTCATCCAGATTGTGCCCCGATCAGTGTGCCAGATCACGATCCTGTTTACGGCGACCATTACGTTCGGTGCATGAATTACGTCCGATCGTTACCCGTTTTACGATCGGAATGCACTTTTGGACCTGTAGAACAGGTAGGTAATTGTCATATGTAGTACATATTGAATTAAAAATTGTTGGAATTAAATCTTTTGCTTTAAGGAAATGTAATAGTACATTGTGTAACATGTGTGGTAAGTTGTCTATTGCGCTCCTCCGCGCCCGTGTCGCGCTATAGACAATTATAGCACATGAATTGCACATAGATTTTTTCCTCACGAGTGCACTGTGTTAGTAATATGTTATACACAATTATAAATTCGCACGAGCGAAGCGAGTGCGACTTATAGGGTGGTGCGTGGGGCGCAGGAAGCGGGGGGGAGGGGTTCGGGGGGTGCGCAGCCCCCCTCCGAAAAAAAATTAAAATATTTCGTAAATAAATATTTAAGAATACAATTGGGATGATATGGCCAGTATCGAAAAGCTGCCGCCACAGGCGACGACTCGACGAGTAACAAAAGTCAAAAAGAGTTATGAGAACAAAGATGATGATGCAATGCCCGCGAAAAATGGTGCGACCCGAACGAACACCGGGCTCCTGCGTCTACGACGCAGATTAGGTTTCTCCGTGTTGTTATTTGTACGAGCGCTACCACTGCGTTGCGTTATTTTTCATAATGCAATGCTTTTGCGTGGCGTTAGAGAAATAACTCAACGGTTTGAGATATTGGCTATTTACCGCACGCAAAAACGTTGCGGTATAGGGCATATTACGTGCACGCGTGAGGAAAAAAAATTAATATGAAAAACTTGGGACTGTTTAGTAACAATTCCAAGTTTTAGAAAATATATTACTGCTTGATATAATTTATAATTTTAGAAATGATATGTGAATTTGCATATAATTTATAGATGAATCAAGTAAGCCATTTTCTGGACGGTTCTACAATTTACGGTTCTAGTATGAAGAAATCTCGCGAACTTCGCACTTTCGAAAAGGGACATCTTCGCATTGATGTGCGAAATAATCACACGTACTTGCCAAGAGGAGAAATCGAATTTACATCGCAATGCAGACAGAACTGTTATAATTCTGGTAAATTTTAATCCTATATATATATACATATATATATATATTTATTTATTTATCTATACATAGAAATGTGACGGTTCTGCTGAAAAGTCTTTCGGACGTCTGCTGTATGTCTTCAAACGTCCTAACAATGTCCAGGAGTCTTGGACATCCATAGGACGTCTAGAGGATGTCTGAAGGCTTTCTGCTTTAAAGCGTATAGCTTATAGATACAGATAAAAATATTTTCGTTAACTTTCAAAATATTTATGTGATAATTTGCTCAAACTGATTAGCAAAATGTAAAAATACGATTGCAGCATTGTTTATTATTTTTGAGAATTTACTTAATTATTTTGATTCACCATAATTATTTTAAATCTCTATTTTATTAAATTTTTCTTAACTACACATCGATTAGGTGACGATCGTGTGAACGTTCACCCTCAGTTAGCTGCGATTCACACGATTTGGCATCGTGAGCATAATCGTGTCGCCGACGAACTTGCCAAGTTGAATCCGGACTGGTCGGACGAGATTTTGTTTCAAGAGACCAGGCGTATCGTAATCGCTGAGATTCAGCATATCACATACAAAGAGTGGTTGCCCATTCTGTTGGGCAGAAGATACACTCGAGCTATCGGTCTCATAGAAGATAGTTACAGTCGTAACTATAATTCTGATGATGAGCCGGCGGTCAGCAACGAAGCTGCCACCGCAGCGCTACGTTTCCTGAATTCACTGATGCAGGAAAAGCTAAGGTAAGCGCTCTATATGATACGTCGGAAATAAATTCTATTTATTTATAGATTATTTATAAAGCGCAAAGTAGCGAAATATGCGTAATTTTCTTGTTTTAGTCTGCCGGATAATTTTCGCCAACAGAATAAAACATTACAGCTAGTGGAGCATTTCTTTAATCCACGCATAATCGAATCGGAGGAGGTACTTGATGGATTGCTCCGTGGTCTTGCTACTCAAACTAGCCAGAAGATGGATATTAATCTCATTTCAGACGTAAGTGGCATTAAATACACTACTCAACAAAATTAAAGCATCACCTGTTCCATCTTGCAGAAATAGACAAACTTTGAGATATAATAACTTTGTAAAAAATTATCGTATTGAGATATTAAAAAAAAAACATTTTAAAGCTTGAAATCTTTTCAGATCGGTTTTTCAAAAAACGATCTTACTGATATTTCACATAAAATTATACAAACAAAAATAAAGATGCATCAAATCTTAAAATTTTATATGAAATTTATGAGGTTGCACGAATTAAAAATTGTGCACAAATGCGGTTTATAGCTTCCGAAAGATTGAATCTTTACCTTTAATTTGCTTTTTTCCGACCTTTGTACGATTTTTTTCACCGAGTTTCAACATTGAAGTAAAAATGACCTCTTTTGCTTCAACGTTGGATAGATGGAAAATTGGATGATCATAAAGAATTTTTTATGATATGTTATCCTTGCATTACAGATGACCAGCAAATTGTATGCTAGCGATGTAAACAATTTAGGTTTGGACGCCGTTAGCTTGGACATTGCACGTGGCCGTGATCATGGACTGCCTGGTTACAATTATTATCGTAGATATTGCGGACTTCCTGCTGCTAGAACTTTTGACGATTTCCTAGATTATATTCCTGTGGAGGTAAGATTGAAGTGGAAACCGCTTCTTTTTAGCATTTGATTTTCTTATGGTTATCAATATGTGATTGTTTCATGTATATCATTCGGTTATTAGATGATGAAGAAACTTCGTACAATCTATTCCCATCCTAATGACGTTGATCTTATCGTGGGTGGTATGGCAGAAAGACCAACAGACGACGCTATGATCGGCCCGATCTTCCGCTGTCTTATTTACGAGCAATTCTCTAGATCCCGTCGTACTGATAGGTTCTTTTACGACTTAACAACGCAATCGTATCCCTTCACATTTGGTACGTCAAAAATTTGATGTTTGTTTTAAATCGTCATTATTACATATGTGAATAATCCAAGATTTAGAAAATTTTTCACATTCTATAATTTCTTAAAAAGTTTATAAAATCTGAAAAAGTTGAAGAGTATTATAAATATATTTTTTATAAATTCAAGACAGAAAAAGTATATCATTTTAGAAATGCTTGTAAATGTAAAATATAATAATTTTTTGAAGTATTACGATATATTTTATGAGAATTTTTTTCTAATTTATTTACAAAAAAACTCAAGTTTTATCGATTATCTTTTTTCTGTCCCAGAGCAATTGGCTCAACTGCGTAATGTTACCTTAGCGCGAATATTCTGCGACAATGGCAATAACATCACACATATGCAGCTCAATGTGTTTCTCAAGCCACAGACAGGGTAAGTTCGAAATTCTATGGCTCAACTTTTAATACTAATGAAATATTCAACATATTTATTATATTACACGCTTTATTCAATATCGCTTCTGTAATATTTCAGGAACGAATTGAGACGCTGTACAGACTTTGAGGCGATACCTAGTGTGGACCTCTTCGCCTGGGCAGAGAGGGCAAAAGCATATCGTTGAAGTCCCTAATCAATTAACTCACACAACAGTCCGTTTTGCCTATAGGCGTAGTGTAAGCCACAGGAAGAAGGCTTACGACAAACGTATAAAATAGACGTATGGAAGAAGCGATTGTACGAGGCTTTGTAATAGTCTCATCAGAATTGTCGCAATAAGTGCTATGCAATAACGGCAATGCTGACGCGCACGCTATGATGAAGTAATTGAGACAGTAAAAGGTAGAGCAACAGTGGAAAACATGTGACTAGTCGATTAAGAAAATATCTATTAGTTGGAACGAGATCAAATGAGAATCATTGATTGCAAGTGAATAAACGAGTAAATGACGAAAAAGTTAGCATTAGAGTTTCCTTTGTGACTAATTTCTCTTAAAGGACTATATTATGTGGAGTAACGATTTGGTATTATATCGTCTGATACACATATATAAGCGCATCCGTAGAGTTAGTCTTGCGTACGATTGAGATGTGTGGGGATAGTGAGACACAAGAGTATTATCAGCATATTTATATTACTGTAGATGATTGTATATAATAGAATCGAAATTAAAGATGAAAAACTCAGCAAATGTGAACAATTTGTTATGGTTTAGAATATATAAGTGTATGATTTTTATATAAACGATAACTGCAATATATTGTATCTATTGCATGAGATTGTAAGCATCTGATCAAAAATATAGAATATAAAGATCTACATACAAATCAATTATGAATATTTATATGAATAATATACAAAAAGATGAAAGATAAGGTAATACGCAACAAAAACACAAAATAATCCAAAGGAAATCAAAATAATTTTTTACTTTTGAAAATAACTCGAAAAGTGAACAGAACTAAGTTATGAATAAAAGCAATAACTTAAATGAAAGTTTGATGTCATAGATTTTAACGATTTTATGAAAATATAATAAAAACTAACTTTTTTATATACAGGGTGTTTCAGACCAAACGGAGGAGCCGGCACATTCATATTCCTCATGAAAAATTGAGTCGAAAATGTCAATAGCAAAATGTTGTGGGATCATTAGTTTTTAAATGGTGAGCCTTTGAAACTGTCTAATCACAGGACGTGAATTCCGCGCCGTCAGGTGCGGCGCAACCAAGCGCTAGCCGCGCGAGCGCTTTGATGGATACCGCACGATGCCGAATGAAAATGTTGCAAAAGTTTTGAAATCTTTATTAACATCTACTGCTGTATGTTTAAATTGAGTCTAATTTAATTGACGAGAAGTAATGTCGTAATTGCAAACACCCATATATAACTGATTTACATAAATAATCAACCTTTTACTTTTATTATATATAACCATAAATATTTAAGCATTACATATGGCACTATCGAAAAATAGTTTACTTACAAACTTCAATGAAATCTGTTAAAAATAATTACTCAAAAATAACTAAAAATTTAAATAAATTTAAATTTTTTTTCTATATTATAGGGGAGAATGTCTTAAATTGAACCGTGTCCCAAATCGGATCTTTTTAATTTATGTAAAGACGGTTAAGCAGATTTGCGTGTTATTTATAATGTAGTCTTTATAAAACACCGACAGCAGTTTAGTAGTACTCTGACATAACGTTCATAGAATAGACGCAAATACGTATTTTTAGCTACAATGTGAAAATTTAAAAAATATACATATATTTATGTAAATCATTATTTAAAAGATGAACGGATGATGATTTGAACTGTAATTGATAAGGAGGCATATACGTTTGGAGCCTCCTTTATGAATTTTTTTAGAACCACGAGACAAATTATAAAAATGGGACTTTTTGCATAACAAAGTACACCTTTTATAATTCTCATACAACTTATTTAGATTAATTTTATTGGAAACCCCCCCCCCCCCCACCCCCCCCACTTCCCTGTCGTGTAGTTAGCTGTGTACGCCTGCATGATTTCACGGTGACAATGATTTCTCCTTACCCGTTTATCTGAAACACAAAAATCAAACGGCATTTTAAAGAGTAAATTTCCTTGTTGTTTACGTTTTCAATTTTTAAAATTCTTATTTTAAACGCGAAATGGCGAATTTTTAAAGTTAAAGTGCCGATTTTCGACAAAAAATTAATTAATTGCTTCTAATTATTTAGAGCGAGCGCTAAAATCGGATATGAGCCTTTTCTGATACTACAATGTCTAAGGAATATTTTAGGATCAATTGTAGGCGAACGAGTCGATCCTCGACGGTTTCGGTCCACGTCTCCAGAGTATCTCTGCTTCGGTCGCTACGTTCTTTATCCATCAAGAACGAAGGGTGGTTGAATCGAAGGTAGTGGTAGTTGAATAAACAAAACAAACTGATTTATTGTAAAACAAGTATCAGTCAATATGTACATATTAGAACAATCTCACTTTAGAGTCAACTTATTTAATAATATCAAACACGCAAAACGCCGCAAAGGTCCTCCGCTTCATTGCCGATGGTTTGGATCGAACGATCGCTCGACAACTTAGCTATCACCCGCTAACGTATTCACCGATGTATTTGCGAAACGGCTTATAACACGTCCTTAGACTTTAAGCGCCCGAGGAGAAGTCTCTCTTCCGTACGACGGCCCGCTACTTATAGTCTGCGTTAGCGCCTGCGCCGTGCGTTCCACCCGGTATGTGTGTGTGCTCAACTACTTGCACTCACACTATCTCACGCTCATAATACTTTATTAAAATCACATAAATTAATTACAATATTTAACTTCCTGCATATACATCTTATCTACTCCCAAAAAAATATTTTGCCGATAAGCGGGAAATTCCCCTTAGCATTTATTCTAAGCAGAAAATCTTAAATGAATCAGGCGCGTGTATTTATCACACGTATACGACTATATAAATGAAGATACATGAGCTACGATCAAAAATAAATTCCTCTGTAGAAAATTATATTATAATAACTCAAATAGTCTCTTAAAATAAGAGGATATACAAGATATTCTTGTATTTCCTCTTATTTCAAAGTTATCATAATAGTTAGGAGATTCTTCTATTATTAAGAGGGATATTATTAATCCAATTTTAAATCCAACCCGTAATGGTTAAACGAAATTCCTCTACTTTGGAGAATATCCTCTCGAAGTCATATTGTATAAGGGGCATTCCACATGAACTCAACCAGCCTGAAAATAGGAAAGTTTTCCAATCACTTTAAAATTTTTATAATCAATAGTCCTACCAACAACAAAGTTTCTGTTAAAATTTTGTTGAGCTAGTGCAACGGGTTGCCAAGTTACAGGGGCTTAAATTTTGTCCACTCCAACCATCAGATGTACTTTGTAAGATACATAACTTGTCTTACAATATTCCGATTTGAACAAAAAAGTAGTGATTTGGAAAGCTTTTTTCACGTACTTTCATAATAAAATAAGTATTATTTAAAAAACTTGTAAATTTGGCGTTATTTTTCAAAATTAATCTTAAATGTCTATTTTTCTCAAAGATGGGTATCTTCGATTCGAATAGAAAAAATTTAGAAAAAAAGAAGGATTCTTTCCTAACAAAAAAGTCTCTAAGTTCCAAGATGGTGAATTCAGTAGTTTTTGAGATACAGACAGATTTATGAGCGGATGAACGGAACGCGCTTCATGCCGAGTCGCGCCATATTGCCTTGCGTCCGCGAGGCGCGCCGAGAGGTCCGAACGATCCTACCGTTCAAGTGCACGTTTTGAACTCATTAAAGTAGCACAATATAACTGAAAGGAAGTAATAAACATTGAATGTTATAATGTCGATGATAATAAATTGGATCAAGACGTCTCTATTATATATTATAATTTAGGATGCAAATTCGGATTAAAACTTCGTTAGCATGACACTCTAATTAAAAGCCGGTCGTTCTTAAAAATGATTCTTTAGGGACAATTATGTAAAACATTGTGAAAAAATTAAAAAACAGCATTACCCAGAGTTACGTAGGATTTGTATATAATGATGTATATAATTATATTAAAAAGCAGATGTATAACTATTATGGGAAACTTTTAGGTACAATAGCAATGAAAGTGGGACTCAATCTCATAAGGCTTGGGAGATCTAAAGGTGCTTTTTCATGCGCAGCACGCTGCAGCAGCAATTCGTTACTATTGGTTAAGAATTTTATGTAAGCTAGATGACGCACTTCCGGCACAAAATACATTTTGCCGCAGTTCGTTGAAGTTGAACCGAACGAACAGCAAGCAGCAAGCGGCAAAATCGAGAAAGCGTACAATATGTCCGTCGTTTCATTATGAAAATATTATTTATTGCAATAAATATTAGGAAAATAAGCGAAAAATGGCTTCGGATAAGGTACGGATACATGTTCGTAAATTACAATAAATAATATTTTCATAATGAAACGACGGACATATTGTACGCTTTCTCGATTTTGCCGCTTGCTGTTTGCTGTTCGTTCGGTTCAACTTCAACGAACTGCAGCAAAATGTATATTTGCGCCGGAAGTGCGTCGTCTAGCTTACATAAAATTCTTAACCAATAGTAATGAATTGCTGCTGCAGCGTGCTGCGCATGAAAAAGTACCTTAACAAGTTAATTTAATAGATCAAATGATGATAAATGATAATTTTTCTTCTAGCGAGTCGATGTAGAAGAGACAAAGGAGAATCACGCGCTTGGTTTATCTTTGGGGGAGAGGTAATCACCCTGAAAGAATTCATAACATAAACTAACGGTTCTAAAGTCTCCTTTCGAAACTCAAATTTAAAATGAAAAAGAATCTCTCAAGATTACAGAATCGCATCCCATGTTCAACTGTAATATATATATATATATATATTTCAAAAAGATTATAACTATAAAAGTATGAATATAAAATATTTCAGTGAGCAGAACATTACAAAGACATATATTTAGAAATTATTAAGTTAGGCCATTTGTTTTATGGTAATAAAACATAATTATTGTATAACAAAATAAAAATTACATTATCAAAGTAATATTATTCTCACTGGAGTGTCCTACTTGGCTACTTTAAAAAAGTAGCGAAATCTCTTACAAACTAGAGAAAGTACGTTCGCTATTATTTTTACCGGCGGACGTTACACTGTTTATGGAGCCTGAAATTAATATTAATCTCATCTTTACCGGAGGTTGATAATAAACAAAAGAAAAAAGATAACAACAAAACTGCCTTATCATCTATGGTTAAACTGGCTCTTCGCTTTTCGGCCATTATGCGATCGGTAACTTATCGCGATGCTTAATAAACAAAACAAAAAATCTTTTTGACACTGCACAGTATATAAAAGAAATAAGTTCTTAACTAACTAAACGGTTAACTGACCATAACAACTAATAATCATTGCGCATTGCGCTTTTTGCCTTTATACTGCCATTTACTTAACACTAAC